GACAAGAGAGAAAATACAACATTCAGAGGCATTTAATGAGAGCAAACGGGACAAGGACCAAGTAACAACGTCGTTCAGCTTGCTTTGAATTTCTGAAGCCTCTTCAGGGGTGGATGCTTTGCAACCTATAACAACGTCATCAGCGTATTTACAGCCAATGGATGCAGGAGGAATGGGAAATTGTTTTACATACATAGAAAAGAAAAATGGGGCAAATATTGCACCTTGCAGGACACCAGAAGAAACTGGGCGAGTGGAGGACTTTTTTCGGTCCAGACATGTAAACTGCCTTCCATCTGTGAAATAATCACAGATCAGTCTGCTAACATTTGGATTAACATCACTTTCGGTAATCAGTTTGAGCAATACTGATCGATCGAGACTGCCGAAAATGTTTTTGTAGTCTAAGAACACCATTCTGACGGTCTTAGTTTTCTTATCTAGTGACGAGATTATTGAATGAACAAGATATGCAACAACATCAAAAGTTGACTGCGAATGATATATGTCATCTTCGTCAGACTCAGTGGCAACTCACGGCAATAAGCATCTCTCAAATAATTTGAGCATGACTGACGTTCAGGCGATGGGACGATATTTCCCAGGTTCCTTTTTTTGGAACGGGAGCTATCTTGGCCAGTCTCTAAATATCAGAGATTTTCCCGCTTGTAAGACAGTTATTGAATATTTTCGACAATGGGGCTGAAAGGGTGCCCGGTAATAGTTCATCAGGGCCCGATGCTTTATTCAACTTAGTTTTCAGTAGCTGTTTCAGGATTGTAGCGGGTTCGATAGTTGGTGTTGGCATAGGGCTGACTAAGTCTGGCAGGGCAATGCACCGTGAAACTGGACTAAACTCAGAATTTAGTCTTTCAACGTCGATAGTTTCCTTTTTGTGTTTATGGCTACTGTCACACAATCGGTTGATAGCTCTCCACATGCCACGACAACTCGAGTTTCCCAGGATAGTGTCGATGTGCAGTTTGTTCAACCGCTTTATTTCAGCTTTGACCGAAATAGTTAGCCGTTTGACATGGATTCTTTGTCTTTGTTTATAGGCTTGTTCTTTCCGCCCGCGTAGCTGCTTGAGTAGCGGTAATGAATATCTGTATTTATGGATAAAGACCGTTTCTAGTGGGCAACACTCGTCAAAACAGAAATTAAGGTAGTCCGTAACATGTTCACAGAGGACCAAAGGGTTCTGATCGGGAAACACCGATAAATTAGTGGTGGCAACCATGAATCTTAGCCTTTCTAGGTTCTGTGATGAACAATTTCTTTTACTCTCTATCTTGTAAGGCCTTCTTAAAAATGTGTATCGGTTGGTTTTGCTGTATACAGTGGGACATACTTTTAAGATACAATGATCTGAACTGCTCAGGGGAGCGCGTTTCTGGACTTTAAAAAAATTTTTTTGTTTGTGAAAACGAGATCAAGCTGTCAAGGGTGATTAGGAAGATTGTATCCCAGAGATTTAAAATATAAAATCTGCTTACCGGTAAATCAATGTAATCATAGATTTAATTAAACGAACCTTTTGTACTCGACTGACCTAGTAGAACAGATCCAGGACCACAGTATGATTTAAGCCCCAATATCTGATGAAAGATAGCCAATTCAGAAGAGTTAAAGCAAAAGACCTGATTAAAAATGTTACTGATATAGCATGCGTTTACCACCATAAAGCACCCCGAAAATTTATGAATGGTATTCTACCCTATTGAGTGATCTCCCTTCAAAGTAAGGACGAGTACAAGGTCAATATAAAACTGGAAATATTCCAAAAAGAATTTGTCATCGGTTATTTGCATAAGTATCATGACAGGTTTTTCGCAGTTGTTGTCACTCATCATCACCGTTACATCATTATATGTGGAATTACGATAAATACTTGAATTCTAAAGGTGCTGAGTGTACGCCTACTGTTTTTCACTGGCTCCTCTGCGAACGATGGTTAAACAATTTTGACGATTCTCAGTAATAAACTGAAACCCTGTTTTTTGCACAAATTGTCGTTGGACAAAAATTACATTAAATCGTAGATTTGTCACACTAAATCGAAATTCAAACCCATGGCGCGTTATATCAAAAATACGCTGCCATGACTATTAGTAGTATCTCTCAAGTGTAACTGAGGTCTTGAAATCAAAACTAGACTAAAGAATCCGGTTTGCGTCGGTTGGAGCTCTTTCCTTTTGCATAATATTTATACACACTATT